TATTTTCCATAATCTCCAGACAATATGGGATGGGCTCAGTTAAATTCTTTTTTTCCTTATAGGAGGCCAGAGAAAAGGCTACCAAAAGATGATTAAATAAAAAAGAGAAGGAACCTTCCAGCAGAATTTTTTTTTTTTAATTCCTACCTGACCTGTTCCTTTTTCATTATTCACAAATTGTCATCATAAATCAAGTGGCATCTCCTTCACCTTAAAACATAAGACTTACAATCTCTTTATAAAAAAGGAAACAGTCTGTTTAATTGCTCATAACCCAAGCTCACGTGATCTCTGCTTACAGTCTTGTCTTGTTATCACACCAAGAATATACAGAGAAGTCAGCAGGAAAAGGAATCAAAGAGCAGGAAACAAACATCTGCTGAAATTAATAATTGTAAGACTACTCTGAAAGGAATCTTTTTCCTAGAGCTGTCAGTGTTTGTAGTATAAGGAGGAAAAGGTAAGAAGGCTTAATGAAACCTACAAGCCCACCCTTACTTGTCTTTCAGATCATAACCAAGTAACACCCTCAATAGTTTTCTAAAACAGTGGTCTTCACAAAAGGTGATGTCCTGGAGCATGTTCACTCTGAACCCCTTTTAACTGCAACACTGCTTCTAATTAATTAATTCTGACAGTGACAATTATTCTATCTTCTTAATTGGCATTTCTCAAGTCAATTGTGGTTTTCTTAGTGGCCTGAAAACAAGCTTCACTGAAATATATAGGACTTATTTCTAGTGTGCTGTAGGGTTGTGCATGCTTTGAAAAAGATTCAGTACCAGTGTCCTAAATCAGGCAAGTGCAATACTATTATTTCTTAAAGCAGCCCAGCTTTTTTCAGTCTTCTGCATGAACCTGAAGAAAGATGCTGCTCCTGGGAGCCTGAAAAGGCTGGGGCTGTTTTAAGAAATAGCATGGAGGTACTGGGCTTCTGCCAGATTCAAGGCACTTTTTCCAAATCATTTTCAAAGCATGCACAATCCTATAGCACATACTCATGTGTAAAAATTAAGGCTGAAGTAACAAAAAACTGCCTTTTTAACATCCATTGTACAATAGTCATAATCACCAAATCAGAGTATAAGGTCATTAAAAACATCATGATTTACAAGCTACTATAATTCTCTTCCTCCTGATCCTTAACTGCTTTGGCTCAAGGTCTTCTATTACCTTCCTTCAACTTTTCAGGTTCTAGAATATAGAACTATATAGGGAAATGTTAGCATGAACCAGGCAGTACCTGGAGGAGCCCCCAAGACTTCTACTTTTACACAGTGGGTGGAGTGAAAAGTGTTCCTATAATCGTAAAAAAGATTGTAAGTGCTTCTGCATACTATTTGATTCATATTGTGTTAGCCTGTTATGTTATATCTCAATAAGTGACTGGAGAAAAAAGCCAGAGTACATTGGTCAACCCTGTAGTTGGAAATTGAAAAACAGTGCCATACACTGGCACCCGTTTGCTTCTTTGAGCAAGTGGCTTATTCAAAGAAATGATCAAAAGATTACAGCTTCAAACATTTGAAGGATTTGTTATGTAGTTGATGCAGCAAATATGCTTTTTCCTGGTCTATGTGTAGGATGTAAATGAACAGGTTGATTTTAAAACGGAGGAAGAAAAGGAGGAAGATTAAGTATTAGAAAAGGCACATTGACAGAACAAACTGTTTGGCTGGGAACAGTGCATGACCAGGAGGGTGGTGGACTCTCTCTTATTATAGATTCTTAAGAGAGACTTCATAGCAGATTACTGCAAGTGCTGAGGTACTGGATTTCCTACACCAGAAAGACTGATCTTTCAGGTACTGTGAACTCCAATTCCCATCATCCCTAGCTAGAATGACCAATACTGAGCATTGACGAGACTTGATGCTCATCATATCTGAAAGGCATGCACTGCCCATTTATGAAGTCTGTCCCAATTCTATAATCTTGTCATCAGTAGCAGCTGGACTAGATTTCCAATAGCAATCATTCAATTTAATTGATTCCAGTGGAGTGATATTGACTCATATCCAAAAGATTTATTCCTGACTGGGAAACATGTAGCACTATAGTGGAGAATGGCTTCTTTTCTTTCTTTCTTTTTTTGCAGAATCACTGCTTTTACAGGAATCAAATAAAGTAACTTGTACAGTAATGAAGGATACATTCTGATTGGAGTGAAAAAGCCAGAAGGTGACTGAAATATGAACAGATAAATTAGCTACCTCCACTGTCTATTCAGATTGTAATGTATTATAGGCAGTAGGCTTACTTAAATAATCTAGAATGAGGAAAGGGAGAAATCAAAGAATAACTATGCATAATTCTCTAGGTTACTTGAGTAGTCTGAAGCCAAATCAGAACCCCCAAACCAAAAGAGAATCCATTGCCTCGCTGAATTGGGTAAAAATGTTGTGACCTCCCTAAATGGAGTGCTACCAGCAAATGAAATACTGTAATCAGGAAACATTCTGGAAAGGCTTTTATTCTAAAAATAGACAGTCTCTGGATTTGGGAAAGTAGGACATTCTTCACCATCTTCTTGACATCTTGACATTTCCCCACTGATACATTTCATTGCATCTTTGGGAATAAACTAGTTGTTTTTCACTATTGCATAACTAATACATCCTGAATAATTGGGATCCCTGACACTAATTTAATGGATGGTGATATACAGGTTCACCAGACAATGATGGGCTAATTCATTCCAGCCACATTGCTCCCTGGAAGCCAAATGAATAGAGTGAGGTGGAGTTAGGACACTGGGGTTTGGCTTTTGTTTAATTGCTGATTTATGTTGAGCACAGATTCAAACCTTTTATCTCTATTTAATTGCTTGGAAAAGGTTTTGTAAAGTTAAGCTGTGTTGTATATTCAAAACAGAGTAAAAGTCAGTGGGTTTCTTGGATTTAACTGATGGTTGCAGGCAACAATGCTCCAAGAATATCCAGTGACTAGTCACCCACTGACTAATCACCTTTCTAATTTCCCATAATGCCCTAGACAGCCACAATTTTAAAGGCATTATTAGGGGTTAATATTCCAGCTGATTCAGGCTCTCAACAATGCTCAAAGTGTAAGATTTTTCTTCTCTTTTTATTTTTTGTTGTTTTGTTTACTCCTAGAGGATTGTGCATAAAATTAGTCTCAGAAACTAGCAAACAGCTGGCCATAGGCAATCCCAGTAAACACCATTTAAGGCCTCTATAAAGCTTTTGTATTGCATGCATCTAGTCAAGATCTAGTCCCTTTAAACTACTCACCCTACTCTCTACAATGAACGCTTAAAGCATCTTCTGTGGATGATTTACAGCTGCAGAGTATTCCTTTGGATATGCATCATTTACTACTTTAAAAAAACAACAGACTAGGTGGTATTCCAGGCCACAAGTTGCAAGCAGGGGAATACTCAAAAAAACTAAACAAGGAGGAAATTAAAAGGGGAGGGGAAGCCTTTTAAAATGTTCATTAATTATATGATTTATTTGAACAACATTAAAGACATTTAAACTCTCACAGATAAATTGTACAATTGAGGAGGAGGAGGAGGAAGAAGAAGAGGAAGGAGGAGGAGGAGGAGGAGTGGTGGTTTTAAAATTGGTTTTAAAAATTGGCACTGCATGTTTGAATCACCAACTGAATGTGACTAAGTGGGAGGCAAGAACTCTGTTAGTAATGTTATCAGTTATATCCTATATCTGACAATTGCGATACTTGTGCATTTAACTTCCCCATTGCAGTTAAAGAGAACAGAGGTACAGTCTGAAGGAAATATTTAAATTATCTTAGGTACAAAATATAGAACATTGTTTGATAGTCCCACCACACTAATTCTAGCTGAAGGACACAACTCACGTGCTATCTTGAAAGAAGATGTATTATCAATGTTTTGAATGTGCTTATCACTCCTTCCCAAATTATAATGTAGTAAGGTCCTTCCATGTATTCAGTGTGCCATACAGCAGGAGTAGAGAACCTGATGCCCTTCAGATGTTGTTGCACTGCAGTTCTCAGCATCCCTTATCATTAGCCTTCCTGGCTGATGCTGTTGAAGTCCAACAACAGCTTGGACAGCTTCTGATTCTCTCCATCTCTACTGTAGAAAAGAGCTGCTGCTGGAATAGTTCTTACTATGTGCTGTATTTCATAAAATGTTTAATGTCAGCATTTACTTAGAGTTCTGTAAATAATGTCAGGAATGACATCATGAATTCTAGAAAACTACACTGGTACAGCTAAGTTTTGGTTCTGATTGACACACATGGCACAAACCTGAATTTCTGATAGAGAAACACTGTGAGTCTCAGCAGCACGCCTACCATGGCCAGCTTCACTGAAACAAAACACCTTTCAGTCCTTACAGTTTTTGATCCATCTTCAGCAATAACATCACCGATCTCACATAATGCAACAGCAAGCATTGTAATGTGCTGTCTACATAAAATGTATCTTAGTCTAGAGTTGTAAGAACTCTTCACTAAGGCTGTGCAATTTGGATATTGTCAAAGTGTAAAACCAGAAGTGTCCTGGTAGAATCCATATCAGGTTAATAATCGTTCTTGTGCTATGAATAGTGGTAGTTATTTAGCAAATGAGACAAAAGTGTCTTCTTCCGACTAAAAGTAAAGGATGGAGAAAGACAGAGAGTCAGGGAACCAGCTGCTTCTTGTTTTTGTTTTGGCTGTTTCCTTATTCTGTCTCCCTCTCCCAACCCCAGATTTCTTAAAAACAAGTTATCTGTGTTTTTCAATACCAATTGGCTAAAATTTCCCTTTTGCCCATAAGATTTATTGCAGTGTCTTATGACTACTATTACTCACTGAGGAACGTTCTGGTATTTCATCTGGAGAGCACCAGAAGGAAAGCTCCTTCCCTTCTCACCTTTTACACTTGATACCATCTACCTCTGATTGCTATGCATGATGGGGAGGTTTTCTAAAGCACAGCTTTCCTTCTCTAGGACCTCTTCTCTTTCACCCAGGAAGTAAGGGAGGGCTGCTGGTTGATGATCACAGTTCAGATTCAGGAGTGGTAGCCATGAGGTACCCACTGCTATAGCGTCCATTGGCAACACTGCTCATTTCCATTGGGGACGTGCTCCCAGGGCCCAGGTAAGAGCGATGCGCAGGCATCGGGGAAGGGGTTTCACTGGGAACTTTGCTCAAGATGAAACGGGTCTCATCATTGTCTTCTAAGTTGGATATGTCCTTCATCATACGCCCCTTTTTGTATGTGACAGACAGAGCATTAGAACCATCTGACACCAGGTGGAACTGGCGGAGGACAAAGACCACAGGCAGAGGAAGGGTGGCCAAGATGATCAGAGACACAAGTAAGGTCATTGCCCATTTGGGGTAATAGAGAAATTTCTCTGTGGCCTGGAAGAAAAAGGAAAAGTGATTTGGCAAGTATTAGTGGTATTATATTAGTGGTATTATCTGAAGCTAATTAGCTTAGGATTGCTTTGGAACCAAGGCAAATATAAAACCATTCCTCATCCCTCACCTTTTAGAGAAGGAACATACTTTGAAAAGGAAATGTTTACATGAATTATACTGCTAACAGAAAACAATTCTCCTTTCTTTCTCTTCATTTCATATATATATAATCTCTTCCTTTTCTGTGTCAGCAATTTGTCTGCTTCCTACTCACTAGACTCTAGGCATCTTACACCTCTAAGAATATAAAAAGATTATTCCATCACTAATATCCATATAATCCTTCTGTACTGTTGACCACTGAAGACCTTCTGTTTGAAAAGTCATATGAAAAAAATGGCTGTTTTCACCACCTACCTAAATATAGGAATTTCCTGCAAAAGGAATAAATGCTTAAATGATTTTTCAAAGTCAGATTCCACATACTGCCCTACCAGAACATAATTCTGGATTACTTTATTTTGAGGATATGAAACTGTGACATGTAAAAATGGTGCCGTCCTGAAGGATTAAATGAAGCAGGAGGAAAATGTCACAGTTCTTTGGACCTCTAAAGTTACAGTCAGTATACTACTGACTATTAAAACAAGAGTTCCTCTTTGGCTTCATGTATATGGGCCCTGATCTAGTATTTACATAAATTCATAAATACATAAAAGTGAGGATCTGAGGCTTTATTATATATTGTTATGCAGTTTATGATCAATCGCTATGCAGCAGCATATGCAAATAACATGAATCAGTTTCATGTTGATGCACAGTTTATGGATTTGAAAATGTTGAGGGGCCTCTTATGCTGACTCACCTCTTCTCTTATCCAGGCACTATAACCTGGTGGATTGACTGCTAGCTGAATTATACTGGCTGTCATCAAGCCAGCCATGCAGATGGGTGAAATGTACTTCCACGTATAAAAGTAGAAGCAGGAAGGTCGGAAACCCAGCATTTCTGTTAATTCTTGCATGAATCTAGAAAGGGAGAAGGAAGAAAACAAACAGGTGAAGCCCAAAGGCCAGATACTGTCTTTTTTATTTCAAATTGGATGGAGAAATTCAATCAAGAACCTTCTCTGGCACTAGAAATCTAAAGAAGAATCGAGAAATCTGAGGATTTCATGATTAAGTAAGCCCATTGTATTAAAAAGTGGGTTTAGAAGCAAAGTATTAAAAGGAGGAAGAAATATTAGAAGATCAGTTCTACTGATTCCCTTTGAAAGGACTCTTACTTCTTGGTACCGTAAATCCAAGCCACAGTAATGTTCTCCAGGATTACCACAAGAGTGAGTGGCAGCGTTGCAGAGTAATCATCAAACATGGTGACGAAATAGTTGCCTGAGCGTTGCACAAAGATCAGACCCACGAAGAAAGCAAAAATGCAACAGCCAACTGTAAGGAGCAGATGACAATTGTCAGCACACATAACTTTCTTTTGGATGCAAGGGCTGTTATGTTGATCTAATTTGCACATTTTGCTATGCTTGTCATATAGATATAACATCAGTGCTGCCTAAAAAAGACAGCACACAAAACAAAATGTCCTAAATAGAAGTTCACAAATCATGGATATAGTTCATACTGTGGAATAAATGAATGCACTTCTATTTTGATATGTGTAGGCATGATAGAATTGGCATGTGCATTCAGTGGTAAAACAGGCAAATGAGTGTGACAAACCAAATGCGAGATCCAACTGACTTTCTTACATGTATGTCACTTCTGCGTAAGAACTATCCTCTTATGTTAAATAGCCCCTCTTCATCCCTATAGAGAGGCCAACTGAAGGCAGAACAGAAGCATGGCATTGAGTTTTCCTGTGTTTAAAAACATGATGTCAATATGTGTGCTTCCCTGAGAGTAAATATCCATTGCAGATAATGGGGATTATTGCCATAGGAATTGCTTCCAAGTAAACATGCAGAAGCTTGTGCTGCAAAATATCATGGGCCATATAACTTATCTTTAGAGAAAGGTGAAATAAATTTTACTATAAATAGGTCTGGAAGAAGCTTGACTTAATGGTATGATGTATTCCAGAGATATCCCTAATTTTACTTAGTGAATCAGCAAAGATGTGGAGTCCTTGGGGTTCTCTGAGCCTGGTTGTTTTCTTGCAAATGTTTCATTACCCGGC